TGTGGTGCTGAGAATCAAACCCAGTGCCTCACATGTTAGGCGAGAACTATACCACTGAGCCACAACCCCAGCCCCCATAACAAGTTTCTGAGGAAAGTATTTCTTAYAATTCTATAAGCTTTGAATTATTCCTAACGAAAATGTTTAAAGGCTTATAACTTGATCTCCCCTGTTCCCAAAATCATTTAATAAGTCATGCACAAACAGAAATATATGAAAATGAAACAAGTCCTGATTATCTGAGGGTTATATATACCTATACATTTGTGAAGAAAAAAAAAAAAGCCCCCTAAACATTCACATGATGAAATTTTATTAAAGATAATTTCTGAAGTTCCACTGGAATCAAGAATTATATAATGTGCTCAATGAAATGGAAGACCTCCATGCTCAGCAATTAAAAGCACAACTTCTAATAACAGCTCCTACATATTGTACTTGTGCACTTCTGAGATGTTAAATGTTAATATTTAGTCTCAGTGCAAATAAGTCTAGAATTTTTCACTCAATTTTGTGAGGGAGTGCTAGGGATTTCACTCAATCTTAAACTATCACATGATCAGAYAGACAAAAGTATTATATATTTAACAAGTTGATGGAATGAAATAGGAAGACAAATGACTCATGATTTAGAAAAAGAAAATCTGTTTAGCATCCCAGTTATTTTTAAAGTGATTGAAAAACTAAATCAAAGCAACCAATGAAACAAAACACACACACACTCTCTCTCTATATATATATATTTGTATTGGGGGTTAAACCCAGTGCTACTATATCTCCAACCCTTTATGTTTTGTACTTTGAGACAGGGTCTGGCTAAATTGCCAAGACTGGCCTTGAGATCCTCCCTCATCAGTCTCCTGAGTTGCTAGGATTATAGACATGTGCCACTGCACCCAGCTGAAACAAAAAATTTGTATAGAAATCTTATTGTGGTTTGGGAGTCAACTGTGATATATTTTTTTCTCGTGAAAATTTTAAAGAAGTAACAAACCAAAAAACTTGATATACCTTAATATAGGAAATTATTACTAAATCCTTTGTCTAAGCCCATGCCACCCTGAGGAAAATGAAAGGTCAATGCACATGCATGCACTAGCTGTTGGGCAGCTATCTTTCAGCCTTGTCTYACTGAATTATTCAAACTAGAAATAAAAATGGAAGCTAAGAGCAAGAGCTCACATGGTTACCTCATTACATTCGTCCACCAGGATAAAGAAGAGATCAAATCGGGACATAATTGGAGCTGACAGATTTATATTCTGTTTCAATGACTTTGACCTGTCATAGTGTCCACTGATTGGGTTTGCAGCTGCCAAAATGGATGTCCTGGCGTTTAGAGTAGCCTGTCCACAAAAGAAAGAATTGTGAGATTTACAAAGAAACCTGAAACAGCCAACAAACTTAACAAAAAGCCCAATCACCCTCATAATTAACTAAATAAGCAAGCCAAAATAATAAGCAACCATTTTCTATTTATCAGATCATCAAAAAGTAAAGTCTGATAAACGACAGGGCAACTAACAGGCATCCTACATTCTGCTGGTGGTGTRATGTGCACATCCTTTAAGCCAGCAATTTGTTAGCAATAATCTTACATCAAGATATAAGAAGCTGTATTCAAGGATGTTTACAACAATATTGTCTGTCATACAAAAAAGACTAAACATGACCTACATGTCACTTTACCAGAGTGTAAAGAACCCAACTATGGTACCATCAACTGAATTCCAAAGTATAATAATAAATCAAGGGCTGGGATTGTGGCTCAGAGGTAGAGCACTTGCCAAGGCAGGTGAGGCCCTGGGTTTGATCCTCAGCACCACATAAAAACAAATAAACAACAAAAAATAAATAAAGGTTAAATTATTAAAATAAAATATAAAGTTGATCTATGCGTTGGTATAGAAATACTGTCAAWATTATAAAGTTAAATGAGCAAGGAATAATACTACATGTATTTGCTTACTAATGTATAAAATATTACTGAAAGAGATATACTTGATACATTCCTGAATATCTATTGTGTTGGGAGTTACAGGGAAAGACTTCTTTTTAAATTTGTAATTTAGTATACTATTTAATTTTTTCTTAATTACTTGAAACTGTTGCTTTTAAAAAAGTTTAGATTCTGGGCTGGGGATGTGGCTCAAGTGGTAGCGTGCTCGCTTGGCATGCGTGC